TTAAATAAAAGATATAACACAAAACATCATAATTACATTGGATGTTAATGGATTATGCACTCCAATTAAAAGGCAGATATTTTCAGAATGGGTATAAAAAGGAAGGTCCAAGAAACAGTCTACTATTTATAAAAAGATACACTTTAAAATATAAAGAAATAGATAATTTGGAAATCAATAAATTGAGAAAGGTGTACTGTGTAAACAACAAGTAAAAGAAGGGTAGAATGGATAGATTAATGTCAGGTAAAGTATACTTGGAGACAAAGCACATTTCCAGAGATAAAGAGAGATATTTCATAAAACAGTCATAAATGTGTACATGAGGCAAAAACTGATAGATTTTTGCAATCATAACAGCAGATAATAACCAGGTCAGTTTGACTTAAAAAGATAAAATAACAGCAGAGACAGAGAATCTGGACACTATTTACAAACATTGACCTAAATAATATCTATAGGACACTATATATAATAACTACAAAGCATGCATTTTTTTCAAGTACTCATACATTCAAAAAGAGAAACCATATACTAGGTCACAAAACAGGACTCAGTAAATTTAAAAAAAAAAAGAAATTACATTGAGTATGTTCTCTGACTACAATGAAATTAGAAATTGATGAAAATAAGATATTCAGAAAAACTTGAATATTTGAAAATTAAACAGCATTTCTCAAATAATATATCGGTTGAAGAAGATATCACAAGGGAAATTGGAAAATATGAAATGAATAAAAATGAAAACATAGCATTTCCAAATTAATGAGATGTAGCTAAAGCAGTCTAATGGGGAAGATTTATAGATCTTGATGTGTGCATTAGGAAAGAAGAAAAATTTAGAACCAATGAACTACATTTTCACTTAATAAGCTAGTGACAAAAAGAGTGAATTAATCCAGAATAAGTAGAGGAAAGAAAAGACTAAAGATCAAACAATAAATAAATCAGTAAAGTACAAAATGGGCACCAAAAGAAATCAGCAAAGGAACTGAAAGCTAGTTATTTGAAAAGATAAACCAAGCTGGTAAAACTCGAAGACAAAAGTCACAAACTGTCACTTTCAGAAATGAAGAGGCAACATTACCACATATCCTGCAGATATTAAAAGGATATTTATTTTATGACAACAAAATGATAATTTAGGTGAAATGAACTGAACTGAATTATTTTAAAGAAGTAAATTACTAAAACTGGCAAAAGATAAAACAGAAAATACCAATAGTACTATATCTATTACCTTTTTAGTTAAAAACCCACCCACCAAGAAAACTCTAGGTTTTCTGTAAATTCTGGTTTTCTGATAGGTTCTATACAATATTTAGGATGCAAGAAACACCAATCTTACACAATTTCAGAAAACAGAGGAAGTAGCCTGGGCAGCTAAGTTGGTTAAGCCACTGCCTTCAGCTCAGGTCCCGGGAGTCCCGCGATCGAGTCCTGCATTTGGCTCCCTGCTCAGCGGGGAGTCTTCTTCTCCCTCTGACCCTCCCCCCTCTCATGCTGTCTCTCTCATTCTCTCTCTCTCAAATGAATAAATAAAATCTTAAAAAAAAAAAAAAGAAAACGGGGGTACAAATAATTCCCAATTCATTTTATGACCTGGACATAAGTTGTACACCAAAAACCTGACAAAGATTTTTCAAAATAAGAAATTTAGAGACCAATATCCCTCATAAACAGGGATGTAAAATTCCTTAAGAAATTGTTAGTAAATCAAAACAACAATGTGTAAAATATATAATTTATCATGATTAAATAAGGTTTAATCCAGGAATCCAAGTATTGTAGGCGGGCTTCGAGGTGGTTCCAAATGGCTGCTGCCTTCTGAAATTCAGGTTCTTATAATCTCCTCTTAAGTGTGGACTGTACTCAGTGACTCATTTTTAACTTCTGATATTAGGTTACTAAAAAGTCTACAGTTTTGTCTTGCCATTCTCTCTTTCTCTTGGACTAATCACTCTTGGAGAAGCTAGCTGTCGTATCATGGCATTCCTCTGGCAAAGAGCAGCTAGTGAGAACAGACCGTGAGCACAATAGCCCATGAGGAAAAGAGGCCATGTCTTGCAGTTGTATCTTCAGATGAGACCACAGCTCCAAACAACAGTTTGACTGAATCCTCATGAGAGATCTTGAGACAAAGACACTTACCGAAGCAGTGCCTGGGTTCCTGACCACAAAAATGATGCTATAATAAATGTTCATTGTTTGAAGGTGCTAACTTTTGGAATAACTTGCTATGGTCAGTCTAACTTTAAAACAATCAATGAATCCACCAACTTAAAAAAAAAAGGAGAATAATGATATGAACATTTTAATTGATGTAGAAACACATTTAACAAGTTCCACATCAATTCATCAAAAAACTCATCAAAATTGTAATAGAAGACCACTGATAAAGAACATCTAAGAGGGGCGCCCGGGTGGCTCAGTTGTTAAGCGTCTGCCTTCAGCTTGAGTCTTGATCCCAGCGTTCTGGGATCGAGCCCCACATCAGGCTCCCTGCTCACCGAGAAACCTGCTTCTCCCTCTCCCACTCCCCCTGCTTGTGTTCCCTCTCTCGCTATCTCTCTCTGTCAAATAAATAAATAAAATCTTAAAAAAAAAAAAAGAACATCTAAGAAAAATCTACAACTGACATCACGCTCAGGGGTGACTTATTGACATGTTTCTCCCTCAGTTTGGGAACCAGACAAAGGTGTGTACTCTCACCACTTTGATACTTCACTGAAGTCAAAGTTAGTACAAAAAAAAAAAAAAAAAAAACAAGAGAAAGAAATGAAAGATGGAAGGGTGAGAAAAAGAAAAATAAAACCATCTCTATTTGTGGAGGACAAGATGGTTTACATAGTCTTATTTCAACTCCAGGACTAACAAGAGAAATTGAGAAAGGATGCAGAATAAGAAGTACATAATAAAAAATCAGGTGCGTTTCATATACTAACAACTAAAATTTGAGAAAATTAAACTTGAAAACGATTACATTTACAATTCTGTGAACGGTCTTAAAAGACTCAGAATGAATAAGAAATGATGTACAAGGTATTAGCACTGAAAACAACAGAACATGGCTGAAAGAAATTAAAGAAGACATAAATTAATGGAGTAATAAACCATGTTTATGGATTGATAGATTCATTATTATAAGATGTCTATTGTCCCCAAATTCATCTATAGAGTCAAGGCTGTCACATTCAAACTACCACTATGCAGTTTATAGAAATTGATGAGCTGATTCTAAAATTTATATGGTAATGCAAAAGATCCAGAATAGTTAAGTCATTAAAATAAATTTGAAGGACTTACAAACTACCTGATTTCAAGAATTACTGTAAGGTTACTGCAATTAAGACAGTGTGATTTGCACATGAAAACAGATATATAGATTCATGAAACATAATCGAGATTCCAGAAACAGATACACTCATATATGGTCAATTAATTCTTGACAAAGGTGACAAGGCAATTCAATGGGGGAAAGGAAAGACCTTTCAATAAATGGTGTTGAGACAACTGGATAGCCATATAAGAAAAGAAAAAGAGAGTATTGACCCTTTTCTCACATAACACACAGAGATTAACTCAAAATACACCATAAATCTAAATGTAAAAGTTAAATTTATAAAACTTTTAATAGAAGAGAAATGAGAAATTCTTACTAACTTGGAGAGTAAAATGACTTCCTAGAGAGGGCACAAAAAGCATGAATTAAAAAGAATACATTTGATTTTAATAAAATTAGTAATTTTGCTCTTTGAAAGACACCACTGAAGAAGGGAAAAGTCAGGGAATGGAATGAGAGAAAACGTGTGCAGCCCATATCCTGGGCAAAAAATCTGCATCCAGAATATATAAATAACTCTTATAACTCAATAACAGAAGGTTAAAAACAACCAATACTAAAATGGGAGAAAGACTTTACAAAGGAAAATATAGAAATGTCCATTGAGCACAAGAAAATACCATTTGGAATCAGGACAATGCAAATTTAAACTACAATGAGATTTCTCTAAATATCTACTAGAATGGCTAAAACTTTAAAAGACCGAAAATACCAAGTAATATATGAAGCACTCATATATTACTGGTAGGAATACAGAATGGTATAACTATTTTGGTGAACTGTTGGCAAGTGTTCGGAAAATTTAAGTAAATATGTTCTATACAATCCAAGTATTCTTCCCTTAGATATTTGTCCAAGAGATATAAAAAACATATCAATCCATATAAATACTTGCATGCCAATGTTCATAGCAACATAGTCATAGCCGAAAACTGGAAATACACTAAATGTTTACTAACATGTGAATGAATAAGCTGAGGTGTACCTATAGAGTAGAATATTACTTAAAAACAAACAGAAATGGACAACTGTTACACACAATAATAGAGACCAATTCAAAATCATTATGTGGGTAAAGGAAGGCAGGCAGAAAAGACTACATGCAGTATAATTCCACTTGTATAAAATTGTAGAAAATTCAAACAGATCTATTGTGACAAATAGCAGATCAGCAGTTGCCTTAGGCTTGGGATGGATGGAGTTCTGCAATTCCAAGGAGAAAAAGAACATTTTTAGAGGGGATAGAAAGATTCTGTATCTTGATTGTGACTATGTTTACATGTGTATATTTCTGATAAAGGCCTTCAAATCATACACTTTAAATGGATACAGTATACAGTATATAAACTTATGCAGGATATAAGTCATAATTCAATAAAATTGATTAAATAAAACTTTATTTCCATTTTTATTTTTTAAAAAGATTTTATTTATTTATTTGAGACAGACAAAGAGAGAGAGAGAGGGAGAAGCACAAGCTGGGGGCAGGAGGGGCAGAGGGAGAAGGAGAAGCAGGCTCCCGGCTGAGGAGGGAGCTGGACCTGGACGCAGGGCTCGATCCCAGAACCCTGAGATCATGACTTGAGCTGAAGGCAGACGCTTAACCAACTGAGCCACCCAGGCGCCCCTAAATAAAACCTTAAAAACTGGAGTCCAAACCTCTCTCATAGAGAAAAATGAACGAAGCCATGTGAATGTAAAGCCAGCACCAGAAGGAAATATGAAAGCATTGTATTATTGTGATTATGGAATATACTTCCCTCCAAAATAAACCAGGCACATATAGTGTGTGAGGTCCTGTGCTCTTCACTGTGGTGGAGCAAGACTCAGACGGAAGGTCGGAAAGCACTTTCTGGAAACTCAACATCAGTGATTTCCATGACTCACAATCCTGTCCTTTTTCTTAAATCCTTATTCCAACAAGAGAGGTAGAAGCAAATGATGGAAATCCAAGAGCACTCTGTAACTGCTTAAGAGGCAGAAGCAGAGCAGCCTGCAAGTCCAAAAAAGAAATTATTTCCCAACTGAACAGAATAGGAGAATCTGCCCCAGGAGAGTGGACACTAGACGCAACTCTTGGAGATGGTCAAGTACCGGCTAGCTTGAGAGACAGCAGCCAGACAAGGAAACCATAAAAGTTATCAGAGGGAGGGAAGGGGGACCAAAGCCTGGAGGGAAGTGGACGTTCACAGAAGTATATTCTAGAGAGGCAATAACCCAGCTTCTGTGCGCTTCCTCCACACCAGTATCTCGTTGGGTTATTTATTTGTAAAGTTCAATACATCCCAGAAGAGCATTAACAATGCTATTTTCAATTTAAAATGGGTGCATGGGCTCTGAATAGTGATTCTGATACGCTCAACTGGGAAGCCTGCCATTGGTAAAATGAGACTTCACACATACATTGTCCCTTGGCTAACTCCATTATAGACAGAATAATGCCTACTCATCAATTAGTCAGACTGGTTCACTGAGGCAGAGAGCAGCCAAGCAGTGATGATATGGATCAGTTTTACAAAAGGCTTTCAAAGAGCATTAGGCCCACAGAAATCCTGTGGTCCACCAAACTCGGATAATCCTATCAGACCTCCACTGTGGCCCCGGTACTCACAGCACTCCATGCACTTGGCAGCTCCCATTCTGTCCCTATTCACCTCTGCAATGCTTCCAAGTTTCACGGGGCACCTCCCACACGCACACCAGATGTCTTTGCTTCCTGCTTCACAGAAAAATTAAGGTCAGCAGTCCTGAGTCTACTAAATAAACTTGCCCACTCTACCTCAAAATTCTTTTTTTATGACAAGTCTCTTCCCTTGCCAAGGTTAATTTGCCTGTTCCTTTTTTTTTTTTTTTTCTGACTTCCTTTAAGACCTTGTTCTGAATATTAACTATTTTATCTCTCTTTCAAACTTTTCCCTTTCTGTTTAAAATTTTTCACTACAACTGCCTTTCCTTTAAAAATAAAAGCAAGAGTAAAACAATCTTGCCTCAAAATTGTGTTTTATTCAAGTGTATTACAATATAGCAGCTTAATAGCAAATTTGAGGTATTCTAAGGCCCACAGACCAGGGGATTATTGCCATTCAGAAGTTAGTGTATGATTCACAGGTCCCCAAAGGAGGGCAACACTCTGGGCTGGGGAGCAGGGGCCACACAGCAAAGTACCCCGGTGGGTCTCGTGTCAGAGGAGAGGGGAGGAACTGAGGGCAAGAGCCTTTGTTCCCATGCAAGAGAACAAAAATGAGGCAGAATCAGCAGGTTTAGGATTAGGTCATTTGAATGCTTTCAGAGACCCTGTGGCGGGGGTTGGGGGGGGGGGTGGGGGGGTGTGTTCTTCAGTTGTTTCAGACCCGGCCTTAAGGTAATTAGGGCAGGTGTATAGGAGCCTAGAGTGTGAGAGCTCAGCAAGGGATGTGGTTGGGTGTGGGCTCTGGGTTTGTTGGTTTACTTTTGAAAAGTGCATCCCAGGAGCAGGACTCCTCCAGATGGGGGGAGGGTGGCAGTGGTGGGAGGCGGGTGGTGGCCCTGAGGGAGGAAGAAGTCACCCCCAGGCCAGGTGACTCAGGCATGTTTTCAGGCTGTCCAGAGCAAGATATATCCAAGATATGCAAGTGGGACAGATACAGAAAACCAAGTTTACAGCTCTCAAAATGGTTAAGGCCCTAAGCTATCCTGACGAAATTCTTGTTTCCTTCAAAATAGAAGTCCTTGTGGTTTCTACTTTAATATTTCTCCTTCTTTCTCAGTACTCAGCCCAACACATCTGATTCGGGGCCCTATAAAGACTTTGAAACTGATGTTAGTAAGATCCACCAGGAGTTCTAAATGTATCCCCAACGTTCTCACTGCTCTTCCATAAGGCCCTTGGCTGCATTCAGGTGCTCGTCATCTCCTGTCCGAATATTTACACTGCCCTATGAGCGTCCATGCGTTGCAATTCAACCCCAATCCTACACCAGCCCTAATAGCTCTGTAAAGCTCACTCAGGTCACTCCCCGTTGTCTGTTGCAGGGTAGACCGCACCCTCCCCAGCCTCTCATAAAGTAACCTTGCCGCCTTTCTCCCTCTGCTATCCCCACTCCACACCCTGCAACAGAACTTCCTAACTTTAGCCACGTCACGCGATTCAACGCTCCTGTGCTCCACCTTACCTTTAAAAATGTGGCTAGGTTTGCCTGCAAAACCACACGGTGTCCGTCTCTCCACCACTGCCAACCTTAATCTCATTTATTAGTGGTAGCTTGACTGCCCCCGGGCCTCGGTTCTCGGCCTGCCCCGTTGTGGGCGGGGAGTTCCGTCCCACACCTCGGCCCTGGGATTAGTCATGTGATCTGCAGCCAACTTCAGCAGCACCAGGAAAGCACTCTGGAAATGAAGGACCACCCAGCAGACCTGAGGGCCTGTAAGAAGTAATAAAGTGCTGCTATTTTTAAGCCATTAAGTTCTACTGTGGTTTGTTACATGCCGCAACTAACTGATGAACTTTTGCATAGACTGGCATCTTCCAAAAACCATGTGTTAATCATCTTTATGTGCCCACTACCTATAAGGCAGTTACTCAAAAATTGTGTAATGGATCAATGAATGAATGAAATGATATATGTTTACCAATACCCACTCCACTTCTTTTATATGCTTTTAGCAATTTTTACCATATGTATTTCATCCCTTCTTAAAGGTTGAGGCGTGTTAGATCTGCTACCACAAAGTATGAATCATAATTTCATCATAAACATAAGTTGTCATTAAAAGAAGCCTGAAAGAAGTATGGAGTATTTTCATTGTTAGTTCTTAGAAGGCCCAGGTATATAATACTATCGGCAACCTGTGCCTATTCTAATGCTTGATTTGAAAACTGTAATGACGTGACACATAATGAAATTATAAAATTCAAGGTAATGTTTCCACTTGTGAACCGGCAAGCCATTTTAAACTAAGTCGTGAATTGACTTGAATTTGCATGAATGTGAGCTACAGACCCTATCCATCTTCCACTCAAATACCAGTTTATTTTATGGAAATTAGAAGGGGGAAATATTGAGGAGTTTTCCAGTAGTTCTCTTTGTAAATTAACTTGTAATGATTCTTAAGAAGTTGCCCTTCAACATAATCTCTCTTCTTTAGTTATTCAAACATTAGCGTCTCTTATTTTAATAGAATTACAATAGCATTTCGAGCCCTTGTTGCTACATGCCATAAGATTACTAATGACAGTTTTTAGGTTATCTAACCAGTCAAGCATTCAGTCATCCACAAATTTGGCTATGTTTATTATTAATGAAGCTGCACAAACCCTAGTGTATTGTTATACATTTAATTTCTCAAATATTGTGATAATATAAACAACATACAAGAAAAATGTTTTTCATGAATACATATAAGATTAATTTTCTTTTGCCTGACATGCACTAATTCATACATATATTAATTCAACAAATATTTTGAAGGCCAAGTGCTTTCAAGCTTATGAGAGCAGTGATAGAAAATGCATATGGGGAAGAGAGAGATTTAAATAATTACAATGCCATGAGTGTAATCGCTGACGTGTACCCACAGTCCTGGGGAAATAGAGGGATGGGAGGGTCCATCCATCTTCCTGGGGAAGACTCCGAAAGAGGGATGGTTTTTGAAATGAGTGTTGAAAACTAAGTAGGATCCCGGGTGACAAGATATGAAAGGGCATCCAGGATTGAACAACATGGCACGAATAAGGTCAAAGACATCAGGAAGTACTTGCTTTTTCTGAGAAGAGTTCTCTGAGTTTCCAGGACAGTCCTATTTAGAGTGTGGTGCATGCGCCAGGAGCAGATCGCCAGAGAACTCCTCAGAAGTGCAAATTCTCAGGCCCCATCCCAGTCCTGCTGAAAGTCTCTGGTGCTGGGGCAGAAGAATCTGTGTTTAATAATTTTGGGATAATTTATGCATGTGAAAGACTGACAAGTCTAATCTAGGGAAGTGATTCTTAAAGTTAGGGTGTCTCAAAATCACCTGTAAGGCTTATTAAAGACATCCAATTGTAGGTAGTCTCCATTCTAGAGTGTGTGAGGCAGTAGGTCTGAAGTGGGCTTCGGGAATTGTATTTCTCACAAGTTCCTGATTATGCCAATGCTGCAGGTCCAGGGAACATACTTTTGAGAACTACTGACCTAGGGATGTGAATAACTAAGAGTGAGTTTTCTTTTCTTTTTCTTTTTTTTTTTAAGACTTATTTATTTGAAAGAGAGAGCATGTGAGTAGGGGAGAGGGGCAGAAGGAGAGGGAGGAAGAGAATCTCAGCAGACTTCCTGCTGAGCATGGAGCCGAAGTGGGACTGATCTCACCACCCTGAGATCATGACCCCAATGGAAATCAAAAGTCAGATGCCTCTCCCAGCCCCCCACCCTGGCCAGCGCCCCTGAGAGTAGATTTTCAAATGTAGGTTGGGGCCAGGTTATGGAAGGACGACGTGGCAGGCAGAATTCTAAGGCGGCTCCCAAGATTACTGACTACTGGCCTACGTGGACCTTCTTCCTGTTATTCAAACAAGTACTATTCCAAGTCCTGCAGCTTGGAAGGGATTTTGCGGATGTAATTAAGGTCCCAATCAGTTGAGTTTCAAATAAGGAGATTATCCAGGTGGGCCTGAACTAATCACTTGAGCACTTTAAGTACAGGTCTAAATATCAGAAATGGAATAAGTTAGAAATTCAAAACAGGAGGCGGACTTGACCTGCCACTGGCAGGCCCGTGTTTCAGAGGCTATAAGCCACCTGTAGGAGCAGAGTAGGGCTCCAGGTTGATAGCCCGGAAATTGGAACCTCAGTCCTATGATGGCAAGGGATTGATTTTTTTTGCTAAAAATAAAAATATTTCTTTTTCTCTAGAGCTGCCAAATAGTAACTCTCTGCCTGACACTCTGATGTCATCTTTGTGGTATTCTAAGCGGATGAGCCTGCCGTGACATGCCACACTTCTGATCTACACAAATGTTGGTGGTGTTTTAAGCCATGACATTTGTGGTAATTTGTTACACATTGATTGAAAATAAATTTAAGGGGCACCTGGGTGGCTCAGTTGGTTAAGGGTCTGCCTTCAGCTCAGGTCATGACCCCAGGGTCCTGGGATGGAGTACCAAGTCGGGCTCCCTGCTAAGCAGAGAGTTTGCTTTTCCTCTCCCTTTGCCCCTCCCCCAGTTTGTGCTCTCTCTCTTTCTCTCTCTCTCTCTCTCGCTCACTCTCAAATAAATAAATAAAATCTTAAAAAAAAGAAAATAAATTAAAAAAAAGAAATGTCACCCTTAAAAACATTTGTATGTCAATTTTGGTTCCTAAAAAATGGAGAGTCATTAAATATTTCTAAGCAAATGCAGGTTTCTTTGTGTTTGCCTTTAAAAAGTTCAACTCCTGGAACCATGACGGAAAAGGTTAAAGGAATTTAAGAGTGAAGCTGGGTGTTGAGTCATGAGGCCATAATAAACGTCCATATCAACAAAAGGACCAATATCTGAAGGAAGATAGTAGCAATGAGCATAGTAGAAAAAGAAATTTTTAATGGAACTTAGTATGGGAGATGAGGGGAGAAGGTGCTCAAGACTGCTTCTAGCTGAGTGAACCTCTTCAAGCCCAGTGAGAACAGAAGCTCAAAATAAATTGCAAGAGAGCCTTTAAGCAAGTTCAAAATAATAATGTATTCTTTTTTTTTTAATGTATTCTTAAGTTTTAGACAGAGGATATTAGACAAAGAGAAGTCAAATTAATTATTTACCCAAAGTAACAACTTAGGACAGAAACTGAAAATTGTTTTGTATGACCTATTACTAATTAAGTTGCATCTACTTTTATTTCCAATGACTACCAACTTTTTCTTCAAAATACGCGTGATTTACCTTTAATTTCATTAAAGATCAGTGTTTTCTTCTTTAAAAGGGTGATATGAAGACTCTTAGTACTCAGATGTCAAAGAACTGAAAAACTTCCAAAATAAATGTTTCTACAAACGAGCCATGTGCCCCTGGGTTAAAGGACAATGAGAAAGTCTTAACCGGTCGTACAGTTTTCAGCTCTTACCCTGAATAATGGCAGGTCAAGGAGGGTTGGGTTTAATACTATATTCCTCAATGAAATGTCACTTTTTCCACAATGTGTCCTCTGTGTGAACTAATTAAAATTATGTTTTGCTGCAATGTCAGCACACCAAATTGCTGACTTTCTTGTTGTCTTACCTCATGGTACAGAATGTATGCTGTCGTGTAATAAACCTGAAATCCGAAAGGCTCTAAGGTGGGATGTAATGTAAGCTCTTTGCAATCCACAGTCTAGCTGTCTCCCTCTCTCTTATATATTATTAACACTCACTCATATCCCATGTGGATAAAAATTGCATAAGTTGAAAAGGCAGAGCTACAGCTTTGTTGCCCAAATCCAGATAAATAATTCCTCTTTTACTAGACAGGCTCCAGGCTCTCAGTTCTACTCAGTGGAAACTAGGGAGGTATTCGGCAGTTGTACATTTTTAACTATCAGAAGACTGCGCTTGGTAAATATCTTTTAGTCCTTCAAATGATAAGAGTACAAAAGTAATCTGAAAAGCAATTTCAATAGCTACAACAATACACTATCAAAAAATACAAAAGCAACCTTCCTTCTCACCTCTCCCCTCTTGTGTATTTCCCATCTGACCACTAAAACCAATGGTAAGAATTTACTGGATATGCTTGCAGAGCTTTGTCCTTGCTTAAAAAATGCATGGTTGATATGATTTCAAGAGTAAATTTCTCATGATGTATCTGTCTTGATCCTCATCACATATGAATATTATTCAACTAACGGATGATTTTTTTTATGCTAAGCTATACCATGAAGATGAACATAATACTTAGGTGGATCTGTGTGATGATCTACAATATCTAATACTTGAATAATGTTGACAGAAAGACACACGACACAATACAATAAATAGAAATGATTTGTAATTATGCAGATTGTATTTTTATTTAATTGGAGGATTTTGTTCCAATTGTTATAAAATAGAAAGATTTGGTTTAATTAAACTTTATGCATTTAGGTAGCCTCTGCTGAGGAGGAGATCTTTCTGAAAAGCTGCCAGATTTCACTATATGCAATCTTGGAAATTTTCCTGAACTAAAAGTTACTATTTATTATTTTGACAACAGAAGTGACAATAAAAAGGCAATTAATAGATTTATCAAGGTATTATTACTTGGACTGTGAATAACTGAACAAAATTTGTTACATTGTAAGACATTATAAAATACGATGTAACTCCTGTGTGGCAAA